GTCCCCACGGTCTTGTCGCTTGCAGATTTCTTATATTTTTTCTTCTACCCTGAAGATGGAGGCGATACGTTCCTCCGAAACGTCGGTTAACACCACTTATACACGGTGCCAAATCCCAGAAGACTGCTTTCTTCACAAAAACACTAGTATTAAAATATCATGAATATAAAATATTAATCATTAGAAATTATAGCGATGTGCACGAATTTATTAAAAATTAATAAATGATTTTAATTTGTCTATTTACAAATATGTTTCAAAAACTTTGTTAAAATCTAGAACCAATTTGGTTCTTGTCCTTTATACTGCCTGTCTTTAAAGGAAGTTGAGTGTCTACCGCCTCGTGTTTCCGTTGTTTGACGAATAGGTCTCTTTAGTGTGCCCTGTTCTTCGGGCCATGATGTGTTCTGAACTAGCTTCACAGGACAGTTTTTAGATAAAGACAAGAATATGGATAATGTCCGAACAACATAATATTTGTAGCTTCACCTGACTTTCGAAAGGGTCCAAAATCAGGCTGTAATAAACTTCACACATGCATGAAAGTTCGTATTGTATAATAATTTGAACTCCCGTTAAGGAGATTCGTAATGTCAAGAACCAGGGACATTATCACAGTAAGTCTATTAAGCCTTATGGAACAAAGACCTTTCTGAGGAGGAAGAGGAGGAGATGATGGATGATGATTGGCAGAACAGCCATTTTTTAGCCATAGCCTTCCTTAGATGATTCTGCCAGATTTGTCTTGAATCAGATCATCAGCTTTCCACTTCTTCCGGTTTCGCAACTATAATTTTTCTACAGAGAAAAGTCGTCAGCCATGCATCCAACCCCCAACCTGGAGGATTAGGTCTCTNGTGTGACAGCGACGTGAGTGTTATACACCTGATGATGGCCGTCTGAGGCCGAAACATGTAGTGTAGGGAGCAAGATCAAAGACACAAAATATATTGTTTGCACTTGAGACGGAGTTTATATCATTTATCGTATGGAGTGCAACAGGATGCTTAAATATAATATTCCTATTACCGAGTTAAAAAGATTTACGGGAGGCTACGCGTTTACTGTAAAATGAAT